ATACGTAGTTTGTTGGGTCTCAGCTTTTGATTTCTGAATATAATTGCGCAGGGTGGTAAGTAGATTGAAAGAATGATTAAAAAGAAGACGTAGATGCATGTCATGCCGCAGACTGAATTCTTTTTGGCTAAAATGACCTGCCATGTGATTTCCTTCATGATTTTGAAAAAAGAGGAAGTATGCCTTATTGCCAACCCTTCATTTAGAGTGTTAGAGAATGATGACCAGATGTTTCAGTCTCAGTAAGCAGCAGTGTGACTTTGCCCAAATCTCTGTGGCTTTGATCATGCACACCTTGAAGGAAAAGGCAATTGAAAGAGGCTTTCATAGTTCATCATAGTCAATAAATTTTCACTTAAACTTTGCCACCTGGTTTAAAACATGTTGTATATATAAGTTGAAATAGCATATGCTTGCAGTTCAGAACTTTATCTAACAGATAAGGAAAAGCCCCACTGATGCAATTTTGTTATCGTTCAGATGTCATACTATAAAATTTAACAGAAAAAATAACTTGTAGTTGAGATGGAAAAGATCTTCAGAATAAACATAAGCCATGCTGGATTTATCTACAGTAGTTAGTATGTAAGATTCTCTGAAGTTCAGCAGTGCAATATATTCATATGGTGCTGTTTTTTCTGTTATATCTAATATTTTGTAGGGGTCCTGTATCAGAGCTGCAAACATCTGGATGAATACAATCTCTTTGTTGCCATCAAGTGGTTGTCTGGATTTATGCAGCCCAGATATGGTAGATCAAATCCTGGTAGTTAAGCACTAATACATCATCATCTTAATATATATAATTTGCTCAGGAATGTATGGGTTCTTAATTATATTGGTTTACAGAAACAAGGATTCATAGGGTTATAGTGCTGGGAGGAGCCTTTTAGGCCCACTGCTTGTTGAGTGCAGAAATCTGAATTAAAGTAGGTCAGATAGATAGTTTTCCAGTTTCTGCCTGGACCTCTCGAGTGAAGGGGAAACCATCACCTCCCTAGCTAATTAGTTCCACTATCAAACTGCTCTTAACCATTAGAAAATGTTTATATCATTTGGCTAAAATCTGCTGTTCTGTAACGTAAGTCCTCTATTCTGTGTCCAGTAGTTGGGTCAGCAAACCAGTCATTTGCCAGTTTTTAAACTATGTGTCACATTTTTCAAATATTCAGTGTGGATCAACTGCTGTTCCAAGATAATTTTCACAAAATACAGTTGCTAAACTAGGAACCCTGCATCTTGTACCTGTGTTTTAAAATAATCTCTCTTAAATTTAATTTTGCTATTTTAGCTCATTCCTCTAACCTATCAAGATGATTGAGAATTTTGTTTCTGCCTTTTAGGGAATTAGCTATTCTGTCCAGTCCTGTATTATCTGTAAATTTGATAAATATTCCCATAATCTTTGCCCAAGAATCACAAATAAAAATGTTGTAGAATTCTAGGTTTGGTTTGATTTTACCCCACTTTTCTGATATGGTGAATACTCCAGACAGCTAACAAAATGTTAAAATCCAAAACAGAATATAAGAAGTTAAAAATACAAATTAAAATGAATGATAAAATAATTCTTTACGTCTTCAAACAGTTGAAAAGATTGGTCTTTATAAATTTCCTAACCACTGAGAAAATAAGGGCCAAATGCAACTCTAAGTCAGTTTATTCCATAGCCCTGTGATTACCAATTTAGCACTTCTTTTGATTAGGAACTTTTAATGATCATTTTTTAATTACAGTTTTAAAATTAGCTGTGGATCTGTGAGTTATCATACTATCCAACCCAAGTTATATTTTGTTCATAGTATTCCTACTGTCTACTAGATTTTTAAAATAGGTAGTCCTCCACTTACAACCACAATTAGGACCAGAACTTCCATCACTAAGTGATGCGGTCATTAAGTGAGTTGTGCCCGATTTTACCTTTTTTGCCATGGTTGTTAAGTGAATCACAGTTGTTAAGCAAATCATGTTAAGTGAATCCAGCTTCCCCCATTGACTTTGCTTGTTGGAAGCCCCATGGGAAGGTCACAAATGTTGATCATGTGACCCCCGGATGCTGCAACCATTGTAAATGTGAGGACTGGTTGTAAGTCACTTTTTCAGCACTGTCGTTACTTTGAAAGGTTGTTAAATGGTCATAAGTCGAGGACTACCTGAAATATTAGATTAGTTGGGTAAAACTTGTTTTTGACAAATCCATAATGACTTCTGTTGATCACTGCACTAATTTCCAAATGTGTACAGATGAATGCTGACTCCTTTTAAGTCATACTTGCTTTATTTCCCATAACATAGTATTTAAACAATGGAGCCGATGTTTCTTATAGGCTTTTTTTTTTCCTTTAGTGGTTTATTGGGTCCAGTATAGCTATTCTTTCTTATACAGTGCACAAAAGTGGTTAGCTCTGCATTTTTTTCAGGACCTGTCTTGAGATTCTCTTTTAAGGCCTTGTAATCAGGCTCAATGTGTTTTGCCAAATGCTTTCTTCCCAGTCTTTGGTAGATGGAACCGTCTCATAGTAGTCCGCCCAGAAACTACAGACCGTTTCCCCCAAAATCAGGTCTCTCACAGTGACACCATTCGTATTGGCCAGTCATAGTATTTCCTTTTCCTTTTCCAGTCCTCTTCCCTTAAAGAACCCCCACCTTTTCCTTCCTTGAGCTTTGAAGTCTGAAGTGACACAGTTGTAACTGCTCCTTTGTCTCCAGTTAGGTATAGCTGTTGTGGGGCTTGTTGACTCTGATTCGTGTTGATGAGAGGCAGAAGGTCCGGCTGGTAGACACTCGTTTGTGTTCCTCTCATAACCTCAGCTGCTTCAAGCCTTCTCTTTGTCTTCTCTCAGGAGTGGTTTTAGGCCTTCTGCTCATTCTTCTGTTCAGCGGAGTGTTTTGCTGCTGTTTTTTGCCTATGGCTGAAAGCAGTTGTTTTGTTGTTGTTGGTTAATTCCAGCAGTGCAAAGTGTCTTCTGAATCTCTGGGCTCTTTCATTTGCTTCGTGCCTTTGAGAGGACCTGTTCCTGGGGTCACTCATGCTCCGCTCTGCCCACCTCCTCCCATATAAACAGATGTATGCCACTCTCTGCTGCGATATTTTTATCTTTTCTACAAGAAGTCTGTGAGCTTGCGTTTTCCTCATATGTCTTCTATGCTGCTGACAGGCAGGAAAACAATGTACCACAAGCACTGCAGTTCACAAATACAGAGTCACGTCCATCCATCTTCTCTCCCACCAGCTGACAGTTTTGTTTCTTATCACTCTGGGCTTCAGTTTACAGGTTAGCTAATTATGCACGGTCTGCTTAGATAGAAATTTCATAAAGTTGCTCTCTGTTGACCCCTCTTGCTGAATTCTGCAACTGAACTTCTGTTTGCTCACTCAGTGAATGCTGCAATAGACTGTATTTTCCTAATGAGGGTTTCTTTCAGGATTCCAAGCAGTCAGAAGGCTGGAATAACATCCGCTGGAGTACTCTATTTTGTTACTATCAGCCCATCTTCTGGTTTTCTCTTTTTAACCAATACTCAATGTTAGATACCTCTGTCCAAGATTTTAGAGGCTTGGACATGGCAACAGTTCAATAGGTGGCCTTTACCACCAAAGTTTATTATTTGAAGGGGTAATAGTTTTTATTTGTGTGTCTTTAGTTGTAGATGCCAAATGCCGTTCTTGAGTCTATCCCATGTTTTTCAGTAGGTTTATTTATTTGTGACACAAACCATTTTAATGCTCCCTAGTGTTTTTTGTAACTGTTGAGGAACACGTTTATTAAGTATTAATAACAAGAACAAGTTATCTGTATTAAGTGTACTCTGCCTTAAAAAGTTATATATCCGTTTATTGGCCCAATTCAGCAAAACTTTACAGTAAGTCTGCAAAACACCTTTAAGTAATACTCCAAATAAGATCCAAGACCTGGGCTATAATCAAAGGTTTCAGTATTCTTTAGAATTCTGATGGTAAAAAAAGTTCTCTTGAGAGCATAAAAATATAGGGAGAAGGTTGTAATCTGAACTGAGTGAGTGAGATTGGAAACTGTTGCATAAATTTCCCTTTAAACCCACTTCAAGTTACTAACAACTAATAAACAAAAAAAAATCCATGGATATTACAATACACATTTAAAATTATATTTTATCAATCAAAATCTTTCTAGTTTGGGTTGGAACAGCTGTAATAAATTGTTAGATATAACCACCTTTGGTGACAATGCCCAGTTAAATACTCAATTTAAGTCAAAAGTCCTTAAAGGGATTAGAAAAACTATACAACGCACCTTGGTAATGAATTCTATGTAGCTTTGGCCAACTTTCCTAAGTTTTGTATTCTATTAAAGCACAAGGCGCTAATTCATTTTTGTTGTTAGCTATCAGATTTATTACTGCAAAGCAAAGTATATGTTTCACTGAATCAGTCAGATTTTAAAGTGTGAGAAATAGCAGTGACTCAGAAATTAGACTTGAAGCCTCCTTCAAGTGCCTCCTTTATTCACATTTTACCATTTTTGGTTATATCAACAAAATAGTTAATTGATTACCTTCAACTATACTGACATTTTTCTAGACAGTAATAACTCTAGGTTGCTCTTTTAAGATTATAGAGATGCTTTTTGTGCCTTTGATACATACCCTCTGATTGTATGTATTTTTAAATGCTTGTTTTTGCATCCTTTAAATTTTCTTTCACCATTCTGCATTTTTTTTGATGTTTTGCGAACATATGGTTAGTACTAATAAAAATGTAAAAAGAAGAAAAAACTATACAGTCGTTTTCCTAAAATATATTCATTGTCGATTGTTTTGAAAACCTAAAGATGCGGATAATTTCAAAGCCATCTGGACGTAACTGAAGCTAAAGATCTTATCTATTGAGTTAGGATGTGAAAATGTTAATTCTTAATTCTTTGATGTAGTTTTGCCTTTAAAGCAGTTATATGCTATACAGTGTGACAGAAATCTAGATATAATTATTTTAATTTTTTCCCCGTTTATTTAAATTGCAGTGGATGATCCAGCTCCCTTACAAAGCCGCAACCTTTTTTGGCTGCATTGGAACCGATAAATTTGGTGAGATCCTGAAAAGGAAAACAGAAGAAGCCCACGTGGATGCTCACTATTATGAGCAAAGTGAAGAACCAACTGGAACTTGCGCTGCCTGCATAACCAGTGACAACAGGTTTGAAAACCTAAATATTTTCCACTGGATATTTTCCACTGAGAAGTTTCCTCCTTAGAATAAAGAAGCAGAAGAAATAGGAAGCCTATATGTTGGCTTGCATTATAGCAGAGGTTACAACTAAACCTTACAGGCCACGTTGGGAAGGCATTGATTACAGCCCCATTTCCATTTGGGGAAATGAGATTTCCATATCTCATTGGGTATTTGTAACCAACCAGATAGGACCCATCCCACTGTCTTTCTGATAACTAAATTCTGTGGAGACAATTGCTGGGAGGTTCTTTTCAGAACTGATATAAAAGGCCAGTGAATCAAGTTCCTAATTTGACTCTCACTCTTTGGCTGGGTCCACACATAGCATAAACCCATAGTGTGCTTTGCTTGATTTTGGTTCAGTAAGAGTCCAGCCATAGTTTATGACTTAGCGTGGTTTGCTCAACAAATCATGGCTTAATGTAATATGCAAACCTGTTCTTTGTGTCATAAGTAGTATTACTTACAGTAGAATGATCTAGATCAGAAGATTGGTCTATATTACAGAGTTGTTGAACAGCTGGGGACAAGTAAAAATATGGAAAGCAGCATCAGTCCTCTAAAAGTGGTAAATAAATACTATTATTGTTAAGCTCTGAAGGACAGGAGACAGGATGTATCTAGTCTGTGGATTGTGCAATGAGGGCAAGGGCACAATTGAGCTTATTTGTTTATTTAAATGGATTTATATGGCTTCCCAGCTCACAAATGCAACTCTGGTTGGCTGACAAGAATGTTTTAAAATACAATATTCTACTCATCCTGGGGTATTTGATTACACCAAATATTTTTGTCCAAGGGATGAAGAGCAGGAGATGATCATCTTTATGCTCATGGTTGGTGATCCTGAAAGTTATGAATAGGGACTCTGACTCCATAGATAAGGCAGAGTTTTAGGTTATCTTGACAACAGTAGAAATTTGTTAGAATAAAAGGAAGGCATAAATCTAGTTTTGTCAAAGGTACTTTTTAAAAATCATCTTATTAATTCCATTTAAGAAATGTCCCAGAGATTATGATCATTTATGTGTAGTAGATAGTTTCTTTTGACATTCAAGTTTATTGAAGGATTTAATTTAGAAATTGAAATCACACAATGTTTCTCCTTAACTTCCTTGCTTTCGACAGTATGAATTATGCCTTTGCTTTCTAGGCTGCATTTTAAAAGAATAAATCTACTTCCGTTTGTTTTCTTACTTCCCTGCACTTTCCATGATTAAATTAACTCTATAGATAGAGCTGGCTGTTCAGTTGTGAAAAAGAACTGTGATTATAAAATAAGAATAGCAACACATACCTCATTATCTCCGCTATTTTTATACATTAATTTTTAATGAGCTCAAAGCAATTTTGAAAAAGTGGGCTTTCCTTCTTGGTTTGGGGAAGAATTTATATCTTGATTTTGGTGGAACAGCAGTGGGTAGATTTCAGGTCTGAAGTGTTGCAAAGTAAGAACATTGATAAAGATAAAAATGTCTGTATAGATTTAGATAATTCTGATCATAGAAGTTGAAAAACTTGGTTGTATTTAATGTGTTCCATTTTGAGAGCAAGCACCAGGATCTCTGATAATTTGTCTTTCTGATATACTCCTGGAAATTAAGAGGGTTGTACCTACCAGGCCTTTCTAATTTGAATTATGTTTATTTTAAATGTTCGGTGTGGACTTCAAGCCATCTCTGGCTCACAAGTCTGGGAAGGAGTTTTACCACCACAGGATTGGTTCAAGACTCCTGGAGTTTTTGCCTTTTCCTAGCAACTCCTTTCCTTTGCCCCACAAAGTGGGAATGAGTAATTAACAATCTAAATTGTGTTGGTATAAATGGACATATTTGACGGTGTCCTAGTGAATAGAGCTGGAAGAAGTTTCCAACCAGGATATGGAAGAACAGACCCAGTTTGAATATCTCTTTTTAAAGTATAAGATACAGGACATGGGAAAAAAGGCAGCTCCCTTGAGTAGAACTTCCTTCCTTGTGACTAAACAGACATGGCCAAGTTGTTTTCTTGGCAGCAATATGGAAGTGGTTTTTTATTGCCTTTTCCTTGATTAATTTTCCTAATCTAACCTATAATCCTGGCATTTCTTTGTCATCCTCCATCCAAATACTGTTTAATGGTTTCAAAGTCAGGTTTGTTCTGTCCCCTGCTAAAAGCAAATTAATCAAGTAAGACCAGCAACAAAACTCTGCAGTGTGTATTCCCCAGTCTTTTTTTGCTTCTCCCCCTTACTTTCCTGGTCCTTTCTCTGCTTAGGTAGAAACACCCATTTGGGGCAGGCTCACTGGCCTGCCAGTGTGACGATATCAAAATGTCATTGATGGAAATAACACGAACCACGTACTTATATCATTTTGCACTGGATGTCGTGGCCAGGCAATGTCACTCCCCCTCCACTACCTCTTTATAATTATACGGCTGCAGGATGGGGTGGTCTGTAAAGGTGGGGAAGACAAAAATGCATTTGTAACCCTTCCTTCCTATTGAAAGATTCCTGAAGATTCCAGAGATGCCTCTACCCTGTTCTCTAGATTCTTAAGGTTTGAGCAGATTCTTTTCCACTGATTCCTCCCCCTTGTATCCCACATGATTTCTTCAACACACCTTTTATTCTGGAAGCCAACTAGTCAGGCTCTTTGAAACTTTTAATGCTTTTTTTCACTTTTAATTGAAAAATCCTTTATATTTCCTTCAGTGTATCAGTCACTAGGTTCGTTTGGGTATCTTGTTTCACTTCTGTACACGTTAGGCACTCAGCCACCCCAGTTGGCTATTGGAGAAAACAATAACCAAGTACAACACACTGGGATGAATGCGCAGCTCCTACTTTTCAGCCTGGTAATGCTTGTATATATTATTTGAAGAAATGGAACTGCAGCGCATAGCTTAAAGGTAGCATCCTAGTAGACTACATGCCGTGGTCTCCTGTGACATTCAGCAAATTTCTTGATTAAATAATTAAGGAGTAGTAGGGAAATTGTAGTTACTCGTAAGAGGGGATTAGAAAGCTGACTTCTTTTAATTATTTTTTTTAGGTCTCTGATTGCTAACTTGGCTGCTGCTAATTGCTATAAGAAGGAAAAACATCTTGATGTGGAGAAGAACTGGAAGTTGGTGGAAAAAGCTAAAGTTTATTATATTGCAGTAAGTGTGGTCAATGTTGCAAAATATTCACTTGCATTCAGACCTTGAATTGTTGATGTATAAATTACATTTAATGCAAACCACATCTTAGGAATGTGGATTTATGTTCTACTCTACTTGATTAATTTATATTAATGTTTTTATACACTTACTGTTTGAGCTGCCTGTTAGCCTATTTACCTTGGGAAGAACCCATAAATTATTATTTTCCTGATGCTTCCTAAATTAGTATTTGTTTCTGAAATATAGTATGGAATAATCTTGCTTAGTTTCTTGAATGCAAGCAAAAGTGTTGAGGGATGAGAATATTAGAGGATCTTCTTTCTTTCATACAACCATGCAAGAAAATATTTGTCTAAAATACCTTTATTCCACTTTTCTACCACAAGGCAGCCAAAGAACTAAAAAAAATTAAAAGTTGCAGAATTTTTAAAATACATAAAGAACAGAAACTTCAAAAATTAATTAAAATTTTTGAATTAGTTTTGAAGATTTTCTTCATATGCAAGAAATATGAAAAACAAATTTGCATACTTCCTTAGCCTGCTTTTTGAATTTCAAGTTATATATCTTTCCTCAGTAAGACATTGTTAAATATAATTACCAAATCTCAGCTGAGCCTTAGAAAGAAGACTGTTAGTTGGGAGCTTGTGACCATAGTGAGTTTTGAAGTCTGGGGGAGATTGTTTAGCTGATTGTGGTGGACTGTATGTTTCTCCTGCTGAGATCTGTGCCTGAACACATGGTCTGATAGGGAGGGGCTGACTCACTGATCTTATGATTAGCTAGCTCAGTTTCAGCCAGCGCCCTTTACAAAAGGGACAGGCAACTAGGAGTTTGCGACCAACCAAGCAAACAGGAAACAATCAGGAAGTGAGGATGTTTAGCAGGGGAGCAACAAGCAAATCTCAAGATTCTGTGGAAAGAATGGACAACAAGGAGGCAATGGTGGTAACGTGCCAGGTGTGCGGTATGTTTATTTGCTTATCAGAAGAGTATGCAGATTCCACCTCTTGCAAATCAAGCTTGTCACTTGCTGGAGGAGGCCAGCTTCCCTTTTTATTCTCAGGGAATAAGAGAAGTCTTATTCTCAGGGAAAGTGGAGAGTTCACAAATGGCATACAGAATGCTCTCCATGAAAGCTGGTGGGATGAGACCTCCAAAAGAGAATGGATGTTGTTCAAAAGCAGAGGAGACAGGGAGGGGACCCAAAGGAGGAAGAAGAGAATAGTGAATATTTGAAGGCATATGGCAAGAAATAGTGAAAAACTAAGAGAAGGTCCATGTCCTTGGTGCTGATCAACCAGTTTGAAGCTCTGGAAAGTGAGCTCACCTGAGGTAATTCACTCATCCCATATGTTCTATAATAGTTCACAGAACTTAAAGAATTCTGCAGAGATCCAAAAAGCCCCAACAACTCTCTTCTAAGGAAGAAAAGAAGAGTACTGGTGGTGGGAGCCTGACTACTGTGAGGGAGAGAACAGTTGTCTGTGGACCAGTCAGGATATCACGAGAAGTGTGCATTTGTCCTGGTGTGGATATCCAGAAGTTGGAGTAAAGATTACACAGGCTGATCAGACTGATTGCTGTCATGGCATCTGTCCATCAGGAGGCAAATGACACTGTTAGAAGAGACCAACTACTTCAGAGGATTACAAGGTGAAGACGAAGGCACTTGAGGCATAAGGAGTCTTTTCATTCATCTTCCTCCTGATGGTCAAGGGACTTGAAGGAAAAGTAGGATCCTGAAAATGAACAGCTGGTTATGATGGAGGTGTCAAGAAAAAAATGGATTCCTAGACATGGTTTATATCATTTGTTACAAGAGAATCTTAGTCGGGGTTGGCAGACAGTAGCAGACTTAAGTAGAGAAGAGCTGAATTTTAAAGACATCACTGTACATGATAATATGTGAAAAGGTTATCATGTGCAAGAGGGCCAGACCAGAGGGTCTGGGGTGGGTGTCAAAAAGTCCATATGGTGCCCACAAGAATACAATAGAAGCCCCTCTCATTTTTTACATGCATTATGCATGCAACACATGAAGAAAAGGTGCAGGATTTCAATCATGTGGTCATGGATATCATCTTGACTTTTTTGACCCCCTTCCCCATGAATACCTCTGGGGCAGGCGTGTTCTCTGTTGAAACCAAAACCAGGAGAACAACCAGTGGACTGAAATTAAAAGAAAGGCAATTCAGGCTGAATACTCTGAAGAGTTCCCTGATGATAAGAGCTACTAAGCAGTAAAATGATTTGAATAGTGATGGACTCCCATTGATAGTGATGTGAAAATGGGGTGGTGGATGATCACATGTTGGGGATGACTTAGTGGATTCCTACACTGAGAGAATGTCTAAGGTCCTTCTACTCATATGTTCTGTGTTTCAAAGTTTAGAAGGCAATTCTGCCAGATAAAAACAAATAACATAAGTATAATGTATTAATGACAGTTGGTGCCATCATATTACCTGAGGTCTGTAGGAACAGCTGGTGAGAAATGTGAAAAAGAAAGAAAAGATTATCCAAGAGGAACAAATTCATTAAAAGTGTTATTTTCTTCATCTAGTGTTAATGTTCCTCCAGACTGGTATTTTGTACTGCTCTAAATTTTGCACAGCTGTTGTTGATTCTTGCATATGACTGAAATTGTCCCTTTACAATCCATCAAGTAAATTGCTTGCAAGGGTTACATGATGCAGTATAATATTGGAATATACCCTGACTCCACACCTTCACCACAGCGCTTGTTCTGTGATGTGCAGGTCAGGATAAGGCTTCTGGGATGGAACAGCAGAGTCCTCAAGGTCTGCTCACTCAACTGAAGCTAATTGTGCTTAATATCTCTTGCTGATAGGCCTCGTTATGCTTTTTTCAATGTTGTTATTCTTGTGATGCAAGCAGTCCTGCAGTTATGAGGTCATTCAGACAGTGCTGCTAGATTAACAGTCTAAAGTTTAATTGAACAATATATGACTCTTAATCAAGGAGTTCACAAAAGCTCAGCACATTCTGTGACTTTAGATCTTGAGGAACACCATTACCCATTTTCTATCCCTGATAATGACTTTTCTTTCAGTCCCTTATGGACATGTTTATCAGGCTCTCTCTTTGTGCTCATGACTAAGAGTAATACAGGTAGTCCTTGCTTAACAACCACAACAGGGACTGGAAAATTTGTCGTTAAGCAGGGTGGTCATTAAGCAAGGCATCATGTGACCACACCCGATTTTATAACATTTTTTGCAGTGGTCGTTAAGCAAATCACTCTGGTCATTAAGCAAATCCCATGGTTCCCCATTGATTTTGCTTGCTGGAAGCTGGCTCGGAAGGTTGCAAATGATGATCACGTGACCGTGGGACACTGCAACTGTCATAAGTGCAAGCTGGTTCCCAAGCACCCAGATTGTGATCATGTGACCACGGGAACGCTGTGACAGTTGCAAGTGCGAGGACCGGTCGTAAGTAGCTTTTTTAGCACTGTTGTAACTTCGAATGGTTGCTAAACGAATGGTTATTAAGCAAGGACTACCTGTATTAGTAAGCATCTATATCTACTTCTCTGTATCTTAATCTGACCAAAATCAGATTACCAGATTACCAAAGTCACTTTGTCACCCCACCTACAGCCAATGAAATAATTCTCCTAAAATACATTTATTTGTTGTATTAGATTTATTGGCTACCCAATTCACAAAAGTGACTCTGGGCAACTTACACTTTCAAGAAATGTGAAAACAAGGAATTAAAAATAAAATGAAATAAAATAAAGTACACCTTTGGAACATAAAGAACAACAGAAGCAATGAAGGCCAAGCAACAGACATCACATCCAAGAGTCTTGCACTGGAGGTGGAGCAGAACCCATTTTTATCTGCAGTGAGCCTGGAATGGCCTCCTTTATACTGAAACGCCCACTGGAGCTATTGATAGAGTCTTGAAAAATTACCAGATTCTTTTCCTTCAATCTCTACAGCCTTGAAACTGCAGCTAAATTTCCTTCTGCTCCCCAGAAAAGATTAGAGCACTTACAGAAAAGTCTGGTTGCTCCTGCCCAGAAACCACCGTGTGATTTTCACAAAGAAAATGTTGAACAAGAGCCAAATGTTTGGTGGCAGAATCTGTTGCTAGGAAATCAAGGTCCTGAGGCAATTAATGACAAAGCAAGCAGTAACAAGAAGACAGAATTACAGATTTAAAAGAGGGAAAAAGTGGTTGGCGTTATAATTACCCAAAGAAATCTGCACTCATTAAATAGGCTGTTTTTATGATTGACTTTAATTGGAGGTTAGTGCAGATACTTAGCTCCTTTCCCACCCCTTTAAACACATGCATGTGTGCATGGTGTAGAAACGCAGAAGCCTTATGTTTCTCAGGCCCACCAGGCGCTCGCCCTGTAATTTGATCCCCACTGACAGATGCATTTTCTATGCCGCCATTTTGAATTAACCTATTGTGCAACCATTTTTTTTCCAGCTCTTTTGAATAAAACATCAACTCCTCTTCCCTCGGATGGGTTGGATAGAGTAGAAGAACATACTTCTAGAGGAAGAAGGGGTGCTTTGACAATAATTGTTGATGCGTGCTTTTAAAAAAATAGCCAAAGGCAGGGAAGAATAAGGGTGTGTATACACACAATTTGGAGGTTTTTCCTCCCCTTTAGAAATTGTCCTCTGAGTAGCATGATTTCCTAAAAAGTATATTCCTGAGATACTTTAAATGCTAGTGCCCAATTGTTAGTATTTTTTTAAAGTTTCTACATTCTTTGTTTTAAGTATTAGCTGCAGCAAAACCAATCCTGCATTTTATATTGTCACCTTGCAATCTTTTGAACTGAAAATATTTTAGAGATAAATTAGAAGGAATTGTGTTCACATTTTGCCCTTTTTGTAAACTAGCTCCCCCCCTCCCCCTCCCTTTATTAAAATAGTCATTTTTACTACACAGTGGAATTTGATTCCATATCTTGTTAGTCAAATTGGGGAACATGTGACAGCCCA